CGTGAGCCACCAGCGCCCAGCTTCATGAGATTCTTATCTCCAATTGTGTGTGTGCCCATGTGCACGCACGCATGCACATATATACACACACAAACACAAACACACACACACACACAGAAAAAGAAAGAAATGAAAATCTAATCTGGTCTCCCTTTCCCTCTTTTCCATCCCCTTGGTACCATTAACAAATGCAGCTTTGTCTCAGAGGAACTCTGTTGTCTGTAGTCTGGTGGTTCTTCTTCTTTTTTTTTTTTTTTAATGCCAGTACTGGGACTTGAACTCCTGGCCCTATAGCTCATACCTGCTGTCCTTGTGTTTTACTACCAATTGAGCCAGGCTTCAGGTTCTGGATTCTTCCACTGGTTAACTAGAGATAAGACTCTCTTGGGCTGGGAAGATAGCTCAGCAGTAGAGTGCTTGCCTCACATGCATGAGGCCCTGGGTTCGATTCCTCAGCACCACATAAACAGAAAAAGCCAGAAGTGGTACTGTGGCTCAAGTGGTAGAGTGCTTGCCTTGAGCTGAAGAGCTGAAGGACAGTACCCAGGCCCAGAATTCAAGTCCTACGACCCCCCCAAAAAAAAATCTCTTGTAGCCAGGCCCCAGTGGTTCATGCCTGTAATCTAGCTACTCAGGAAGCTAAGATCTGAGGATCACAGTTTGAAGCCAGCCCAAGCAAAAAAGTCAGTGAGACTCTGATCTCCAATAAACCACTCAGAAAAAGCCAGAAGTCGGGCTGGGAAGGTGGCTCAGTGGTAGAGCGCTTGCCTTGCATGCCTGAGGCCCTAGGTTCAATTCCTCAGCACCACATAAGCAAAAAGAAAAAAGCTGGAAGTGGCGCTGTGGCTCAAGTAGTAGAGCGCTAGCCTTGAGCTGAAGAGCTGAGGGACAGCATCCAGGCCCAGAGTTTAGACCCCATGACTGGACTCCCCCCACCAAAAAAAAAGAAAAGAAAAAGCCAGAAGTGTCACTGTGACTCAAGTGATAGAGTGCTGACCTGAGTACAAAGAGGCTCAGGAATAGTGCTCGGTCCCTGGATTCAAGCCCCAGGACTTGCTTTAAAAAAAAAAGAAAAAGAAACTTTTATATTCATCTGCTCAGACTGGCTTCAAACCTCAGTTCTTAGATCTCAGCTTCCTTAATAGCTAGGATTATAGGTGTGAGCCATTGGTATCTGCTATGAACTACTTCTTCACCTTAGGGTATTCTCTTTCTGGTGCATCCCCCCTCTCACCCTAAAGGAAGACAAACTATTAAGTTGTTCCTATGTAGGTTTCCATGGTCAGGTTAGAAGCTTCTGGAAGCCTTCAAAATTTGCTTCTGCTTTGCAGCACCTCCTGGAAAATATCCTAATGGTTTCCGAGATGTGCTCAGAGAGTTGATCCGGGATGAAGGAATCACATCCTTGTACAAAGGGTTCAATGCAGTGATGATCCGAGCCTTCCCAGCCAATGCAGTGAGTATCTGGCAAGCAGGGTATTTTCCCTTCTGGACTCAGAGTAAGTGCACGATTTTGCTTGCTACTGGCATAGCATTGGGGATTCATACTCAGACTCAGCCAGAGCTGTATCATGTGCTTGCTTTCCTGAAGTTGTCAGAAGGATTGCTTTTGGAGGGGCTCTGAGATCAGCAACTTTGATTTCTTTTTTTTCCCTCCTCCTCCCACCTGGGACTTAGATTTTTTTTTTTTGACCTGGCCATCAGAAATGGGCAGTTGTAGGACATGCATTTTCTTCCCATTAAGAATTAGAGAGGGGGCTGGGAAGGTGTCTCAGTGGTAGAGCGCTTGCCTTTGCATGCATAGGGCCCTGGGTTGGATTCCTCAGTACCACATAAACAGAAAAAAGCTGGAAGTGGCTCTGTGGCTCAAGTGGTAGAGCCTCAGGTGCTTGCCTTGAGCTGCAGAGCTGAGGAACAGCCTCCAGGTCCAGAGTTCAAGCCCCATAACTGGCAAAAAAAAAAAAAAAGAATGAGCCGGGCACTGGTGGCTCACGCCTGTAATCCTAGCTACTCAGGAGGCAGAGATCTGAGGATCACGGTTCAAAGCCAGCCTGGACAGGAAAGTCCATGAGACTCTTTTCTCTAATAAACCACTAGAAACCGGAAGTGGTACTGTGGCTCAAGCAGTAGAGCGCTCGCCTTGAGCTGAAGAGTACAAGGATAGCGCCTAAGCCCAGAGTTCAAGCCATATGACCGACAAAAAAAAAAAAAAAAGAATGAGAAAGTAAGCTGAGCACCTGTAGCTCACACTTGTAATCCTAGCCACTTAGGAGGCTGAGAGCTGAGGATCCTGGTTCAAAGCCAGCCCAGGCAGGAAAGTCTGGGAGACTCTTATCTCCAAAAAACTACCCAAAAAGCCCCAAGTACAACTCAAGTGTAGAGCACTAGCCTTGAGCAAAAGCAGCTCAGGGACAGCACCCAGGGCCCTGAGTTCAAGCCCTAGGAGCAGAGGAAAAAAAAAAGTATAACTTGCTTTTTTTTTTAATGGGTTTTTTTAATTTGTTTTGTTTTTTGCCAATCCTGGGTCTTGAACTCAGGGACTTGGCACTGTCCCTGAGCTGCTTTTGCTCAAGCCTAACTAGCACTCCACCACTTGAGCCACAGCACCACTTCCAGCTTTTTCTGTGTATGTGGTACTAAGGAATTGAACCCAGGGCTTCATGCATGCTAGGCAAGCCCTCTAGCACTGAGCCACATTCCCAGCCCTTCCTCAGGGTTTTGGTTAAGAAAGGCTCTCACTAGATAGCTCTGGCTTACCTGACACTCACTGCTGCAGCCCAGATTAGCCTTGATCTCAATATCCTCCTGCCTTTGCCTCTGAAATGCTGGGATTCCAGGTGTGTACCACCAGGCACAACTTGCCTTGCTTCCTGGATGTGCAATGAGAATAGGGTTAGGAGGGGGGTTCTGATTCTAATATGACCAACCAGGCATGGTGCTTCATAGTGGTGTCTTCAAAAGGTCTCATTTCTCATGGCTTCTCTCTTCTTCTCCACCCCTAGGCCTGCTTCCTTGGCTTTGAGGTTGCCATGAAGTTCCTTAATTGGATCACCCCCAACTTGTGAGGAAGAAGGTTGAGGCTTCTGCATGCTGGACACTGTCATGGAGGAGAAGCAGTGGGCAGGACTGGCAGTTCTGAAGGGGTGAGGGGAGGGAGAATGGTGGAATCAGAGCTCTATGCATGGACATGGTGAACCTATTGCCTTAAAGACATCCTCTACCTTGTATAATCACCTGGTAATGCCATTTGGAAACTTGAATTCACTCTTGTCACTCTAAGGGATCTCACGATGGAATACGTAGCTTCTAGACCAGCTAACCACCTGTGATCAGATGGCTAACCTACTGGTTGACCGCTGGCTCTTGACGCTACCCAAAATCCTCCTCACCTAAAGAGGTGATTATCAGCCTGTCACTGAAGACGCCTTACAAATGCTTTTTCAACCAAGTCATCAGATGCTGAGATCTTGTTTAAATCTGAACCGGGAACACTCAATTGATTTACAAGGTGTCATCTAATCCTGGGGTGTACATAAAAATATGGACTTGTGGACTTAAGGTCCACATCGTATTCATCCAAGAGGTCTGGGTAGATATGTCTTGGAAGAGATAGCTTGTTTAACCATTGAATTTTGATTATGTTTATGGCTAGCAAATAATCATATATAAAATTGGAGTAGCCTAATTTCCCCAGGAGAAGATTGGAGAATTTGTTTTTCTTCCCACACAATGAGGACATTCTGAGACTGCTAGGGTAAGTGTGAAAGCTCAAGGGTGTAGGAAGGCTTTTTGCACACTCTTTCCTCATGAGAGCACCCACATTTAACAGGGTACAATAAATACTGTTTCTAATTTTTGCATCGCGCCATATTTTTGTTTTCCTTTTGCTTCTGGGACATTTTATAAGGTAGCCTGTGGCCTTGGTAGAAGTTGTCAGAGATCTAGTATCATCCCCCTCGGAGAACCCTAGGCATCTGTCCTAATGGGAAGGAGAAAGCCAGAGTTTACTGGCTGCCCCAGCTGTTCAAGGGAGGTGAGTTAAACAGGGTGACTTGATTGGTAACTCTTCACACAGCCTTATGTGGCAATCAGACAGGCTGGCCTCCATAAGGCCTAGTGTGTGTGTGTGTGTGTGTGTGTGTGTGTGTGTGTGTTGGTTCTGTCCCTGAGCTTTAGTGTGTGTGTGTGTGTTGGTTCTGCCCCTGAGCTTTAGTGTGTGTGTGTGTGTGTGTGTGTGTGTTGGTTCTGTCCCTGAACTTTTTAGCTCAGAGCTAACACTCTACCACTTGAACCACAGTTCCACTTCTGGCTTTTTTTGTTAGGTAGAGATGTCTCGTGGACTTTCCTGCCCAAATTAGCTTCACACCTTAATCCTCAGATCTTAGCTAGGATTACAGGCATGAAGCCACCAGTAACCAATCCTTTTATTCATTTCTCTCCCTTGTCCAGAGCCACGTGGTTATCTGACAGATGGAAAAGTCTGCTTAGAACAAGCAGACAAAAGCAATCCTGGCTTTAACGTTACTGTGCTTTCTGACCCAGCCTGGCTTTACTAAGTATGGCCAGAAACAGGTTGGAGGAAGTTGGAGAGTCATACACTGGGCTGTCCTTGTCTGCTCCAGGGAAGAACCAGCCAAAGCTATGGGAGCTGAGCTTTTCTGGCACTGTCTGATCTGGCAGTCACAATTAGTTCCTCTGGCACTTACTTGCCCCATTGCAGCTCCACAGAGAGCCTTGGACTTTGGCTTGAGAACGATCACAGTTAGAGGACAGACCCACCCCAATCTGGGAGCTGGGGGATGGGGCCAACCTGGCCGGAAGCTGAAGATTTCCCTACTTAAGCAGGTTGATTCTTGGGAAGCTATTTTTAGTTGATCAGATAATGATGGTCAAGAAGAAAATAATGTTTTCTTTTTTTCAGTCCTGGTGCTTGAACTCAGGGCCTTGGCCCTGACTTTGAGCTCTTTTTACTCAAGGCTAGAGCTCTACCACTTGAGCCACAGCACCACTTCTGGTTTGCTGGTGGTTTCTTGGAGATAAGGGTCTCATGGACTTTCCTGCCCAAGCTGGCTTTGAACCATGATCCCCAGATCTCAGCCTCCTGAGTAGCCAGGATTACAGATGTGAGCTACTGGCAGCCAGCTTGAAAATGACATTTTTAAAAGATGAAAATATTTAAGAAAAACAAGGGGCTCAGTGGTAGAGTGCTTGCCTCGCATGCATGAGGCCCTGGGTTCAATTCCTCAGCACCACATAAGTCAGAAAAAGCCGGAAGTGATGCTGTGGTTCAGGTGGTAGAGCGCTACTTGAGCTGAAGAGCTCAGGAACAGCGCCCAGGCCCAGAGTTCAGGCCCCAAGACTGACCAAAAAAAAAAAAGAAAAACAACCCCCTCTGCTGAGAAGGTCAAATACTCCTCTCATGTCTATCTATCTCACTGACTTGGAAATGGCCATCTAAGTCCTGGGGCTTGAACTTACAGCCTAAACTGTCCTTGAACTTCTTTGACTCAAAGTTAGCACTCTACCACTTGAGCAACAGCTTTTTCTGTGGATGTGGTACTGAGGATTTGAACCCAGAACTTCATGCATGCTAGGCAAGCACTGTACCACTAAGCCACATTCCCAGCCCCTGAAGATCTTGACATCCAGTGAGACCTGAAATCTCAGCTTTTGCCTAGAAGCTCTTAGAAGTCTATTTGCATACTAGCAAAGCCATTCCCCATAGCTTAAGATTACTTTTATAGTCTTGTGCTTCTGGTTAATTTGCCCTTTGAAACTCCTCCCATTTAAATTCCTTAGTATTTGTGGGTAGATTCTTTTACTCCTTTGGGTGTTCAGTTGATGTTAAGTCAAACAGGGAAGCCCCTGGAGGCATATTTGTGAAAGGAACCAAGCAGATGGTGAGTGACTCCCTTCTGGACCATACTTCCATTTATGATGCACTTTGAAATGCCACCTGTTCCTAAGATATATCTTCTTTCCCTGATGGGATGGGGGATGGGGACGGAGAAGGGAATTGGGGCCCTCCTCAGTAATTTCTCTGCCTGTCCCATATAGTCAAGTAGAAACTAGACAGTGATTGCCAAAACAACCAGTTGGTGATAAGGGTCTTGCTTAAGCACAAAGAAAGTTATAACTGGGCCAAAGGTGTGGGACATAGGGCAGTTGTTGCAATAGTGACTCTCAGAAGCATGGTAACACAGTTTTTGCTATAAGGCCATACTGTAAATACCCTACATTTCATTCCCTACAGTCTACCCCCTCTTTTTTTTTTCTTTTGCATGACAAGTTCTCCTGATGTGGCCTTACACTGTAGCTGAGGCAGGCTTCGGACTCAGGATATTCCTGCCTAAGTGCTCAGAACTACCATGCCAAGCTCTTACAACCTTTGGAAGCTGAAATCCTGTATATATTTTCCATTCTCTTCATTTTCTTTTCCCTTTTTAAAAGCTAAGGATTAAACCCCTAGAGCCTTAGGCATACTAGGCAAGTACTCTACCACTAAAATAAAACCTTGTCTCCCCCCTCTCCCTTTTTCTTTTCCAGTCCTGAGGCTTGAACTCAGGGCCTGGGCACTGTCCCAGGATCTTGAGCTTCTTTGGCTCAACGCTAGCACTCTACCACTGGAGCCCCAAAGCCACTTCCAGTTTTCTGGTGGTTTATTGGAGGTAAGAGTCTCACAGCTTTCCTGCCTGGGCTGGCTTTGAACAGTTATCCTCAGATCTCAGTAGCTAGGATTACAGGCATGAGCCACCAGAACCTGGCTATTGGCTTTTCCTTTTTATGTGGTACTAAAGAATCAAACCTAGGGCTTCATGCATGCATTCTAGGGACCCACTCTGCCACAAAAGCCATATTCCCAGCCCCAAGATTTTTTTTTTACCCTGATTTTTAGATGTGGAACTTAGACAGGGGGAAAGAAAATGATCTGCAGAGGTCAGGGCAAGTTGGATAATAGAATAGAGTCTGGGTGTCTAAATGTCCTAGTGACAGACTGGAGATGCTATCAGAAACTGCCCTGAGGCTACTTGACTAATGATACTAAAGACCTTTCTGTACTTCTGGGTCAAAAGCCCAGGTTTCTGCTGGGCTCTGGTGCTTCATGCCTGTAATCCTAGCTACTCAGGAGACTGAGATCTAAGGATTCAAAACCAGCCTGGGCAGAAAAATCCCAGAGACTCTTATCTCCAGTGAACCACCAGAAAACTGAAAGTGGCGTGCTGTGACTCAAGAGCTAAAGAGCCCAGGGATAGCACCCAGGCCCAGAGTTCAAGCCCTGACACAGACAAAACAAAACAAAACAAAAAACCCAGGTTCCTAACCTCAAATCAGGATAAGAATTATCCTAGATCTCAAATGCCCCAAAGCACGGTATGCCCTGCAGGCTCCTTTTTCTGCTTTTTCTCTGTTATGGTAAGCAGGAAAATCAGTAATTGTCTAGCTAGATGCCCCTGTGCCTCAGAGGTTCTTTACCTGAGGTATCTTCAGATCATGAGTCCCCTGCCGCCTCACACTTTGTGGGGACACTGTGTCCTGGAGAAGAGGTTGGCTCACAGGTACAGAAACAGGTGCTCTGGGAATTAACTGCTCCCTGGAGCATGGATGTCTGTTAAAATAGCTCAGACCTTTTGGATCAAAAGCCACAGCCTCTCTAGGGGGAAGAACGATGAAGACAGGACAGCTTGGGTGGGGGGCAAAGGAAAAACAGCCCACTTCCTCAATCCCTCTTGCCAGTTGGAGCTTAGGAACACTTCTGTTGAAAAGACACTGGTGGGCTAAGTGAATTGGGAAGATTGAATCAGAGAGAGCCTGTCATTGCAGAAGTGGTCAAATGACCAGCAAGTTCCAGGAATTAGGCAAGGGACTAGCATGGCATAGAGAATTCAAGTAAAAGAGGAATGTTTCTGTTACCCCAGGAGATAAAAGCCATAAAGAATATAAACTAGGCCGAGCATCTGTGGTTGGCTCATGCCTGTAATCCTAGCTGCTCAGGAGGCTGAGATCTGAGGATTGTGGTTCCAAGTCACCCCAGGCAGGACTGTGAGACTCTTTATCTTTAATAAGCCACCAGAAAAAAAAAAAGGAAGTGGCACTGTGGCTCAAGTGGTAGAGCACTGACCTTGAGCTGAAGAGCTGAGGGACAGCACCCAGGCCCAGAGTTCAAGCCCCACAACCGAAAAAAAAAAAAAAAAAAGTGCATGCCGGTCTGGGAATGTGGCTCAGTGGTAGAGCATTTGCCTAGCATGCATGTGCATGAAGCCTTGGGTTTGATTCCTTAGTACCACATAAACAGAAAAAGTCAGAAGTGACGCAGTGGCTAAAATGGTAGAGTGCTAGCCTTGAGCAGAAAGAACTCAGGGACAGTGTCCAGGCCCTGAGTTCAAGCCCCAGGACTTGCAGGAGAAAAAAAAAAAGTACATGAAGCCGGGTACCAGTGGCTCATGCCTGCAATTCTAGCTACTCAGAAGGCTGAGATCTAAGGATCAGGGTTCAAAGCCAGCCCTGGCAGGAAAGAGACTCTTATCTCCAATTAACCACTTGAAAACTGGAAGTGGCACTGTGGCTCAAAGTGGTAGACGGCTAGACTTGAGCCAAAGAAGCTCAGGAACAGTGCACAGGCCCTGAGTTCAAGCCTCTTGAGTGGGAAAAACAAATACATGAAACTCAGTATTTCACTAAAGCAGTTAGCATCCTCTCCATGTTCATTTTTCTCCAGGACCTGCTGTTGTTAGGCTAAACAATGTGTTCTACCTCTGTGCTAGCTGCATCCATTGTTGTAAACATCTCTGAGAACTGATCTCATTTTGTCCAAGTCTCTGCCTGGGGCTGGTGGGGTGGTGGTGGATGAAAGATATTGA